CCTGCCTCAAACTTCCTTAAAAAATGAAGAAAGATAGAAATATCCAGAAATGTATTTACAGCGCCAGCTTAAGCTGAGCCAGCAAATTATCGACAACTTGTTGTCTGTGTTTGTGTGTTTAATCTGATTTCATGTATAAAAGCTAGAAAATTAAATTTGGAATAAGAAGAAACTCAATTAATCACCAAGTAACAGTAGTATTATGTCAATAGCAGTCATGACTACAGATTTACAAGAGAAAAAAATTTGCTAGTTTAGTGTGCCTACAAAAATTTAGCAAACTTCCTCTTTCACATTCATCTCTGTGAATGCACATTCTGTGTGAAACTTCCCCCAATATTATAGAGAAATTTGAACGACGAATTATAACCACTGACCAACTACCTGGTGAATTCATTAAACATTACCAGCCTCTCCTCGACATCATCACAATTCATTTTCAATAGAACATTACTAAATTTCAAATATTTCTGTTGTATGTACTACAAGAACAAAGAGGAACTTAATATGTATAAAGAGAAATAATGCAGGGCCTAGTTTAGTTGTTTTAAATGATAAGATATATATATATTAATTTGTTTGGTCCACTTTACTGTAAACGCCCCACCATGAAAATCACCCTACCTCTTTAACTTAACCGTTAGCACTTCGTCAAAATCACTGAATGTGCTTACTACAAAAAACGAAACTCAAAAACTAGAGGCCAGATAAATATAGGTTGAAACGTTTATAGTTATAAATATAGTGATTGCAAAAAATTTACAAAATTATTTTTTTCCTCCAGTATTCATGAGCACATGTCATACACAACAATGTGAGGGTTTTAAGCATATCATTATCATTGAAATCAATAATATTTTCCTGAAAAATGTAAATACTTCATCACTCAAGCAAACTTTAATATTTGATAATACTAAAATTCTGTATGGCTCTCTACATTGGTCACAAATTTTACTTATGGAGGCTTTGGCCATAAGGTGTTTTAAGCCTATTTTAAACACTGGGTTGAGAGCATCCAAGGAGCTTCCATTATTTACTTAATTCTGAATTGTAATTATATAACATGTACTTTTCTTAAAAGCATTATCTACTGTTTAAGTATATTTTATTTCAATGAATTATCTTATTGTTTATTTCATGTCATGAGACATTCATTCAGCCAGCATTCCCAGGCTTCTGTACTATTGTTGAATAATTGTTGATTATTCATTGTTTATTCACAATAATAAGTGATATACTTAATATAAGACACTCATTTTTTATTACCTCGTTTTTAATTGGCTAGTTATAACTTTGATTTTAATCTGATTGGTTGGTTTTTATTTTCTTTCTGTTATACTTTTGTAAATATTGTAAACATATATGGATGGGTGAGATTTTCGCACCAGTATGCTTGAAAATGATCAAATAGATCGAAATGTTGAATCTCAAAATGTCTCTGTCTTTTTTCGAAGTTACTGTCTTTTTGTTTTAAATTGATGTTTATAGTGAATATACAATAATTTATAACTGCATAGTAGCTATTATTGTTCAGTTGTCATGGTTTTTGTAAATTTTAACTACTGTTTAAAGACAGATTGTATATGCACATGCCTGAGTAACAGTTGATCAGTACCTTCAAACCTACTGTATGACTTGATGTGTCATAAAAGTCATTGTTGAGAAAACAATAAGGAACTTTTATTGAAATTACATCCATGGTGCAATACCTGTGTTACAAAATGGACTTTAAATTAAAAACCATTTTATCTTTACTAATGATTTGTGTTGTGTATAAACATTTACTTCTACTTTGTCTTTTTGTGCACTTTTGTATTTCAGTAATATTGTTTTCATTTTAAAAGGCAACTTTAACAATATTCTGTATGTATATCTTGTTATACAATAGTAAATTTATCTCGTATCTTGTATGATAACCAGCTACCTATACAAACACACAAATTGTCTATTCTGAAACTGACCTAAACTAGTTTTTAACGCAATTCATTGCATACACTTCTAAAAATAAACAATTATGAATGACTCATCTGGTCAAAGGTCAAGTTTAACGCACATTCACTAAGCCTACTGTACCTACACAGCATGCAGAAAGTAACATGATCATGGGACACTTATGACCAATAATAAAAGCTGAATAAACAGTTCCTGTGAAGCACTGTCTATTCAAACAGACACTCAATACAAAACAGATAAAAGAATTGTGTATAGTTTTCAAGTAGGAACAATGTTTTCTTTTGATCACTATATTTTGACTTTTGTGTGAAACCGCAATCAATCATCACCATCAAAATCATAAACAATTACTATTTTTATCAAAATTGTCATAGTAGTCAGTGGCGCAACCACAGGATTTTTACTGCGCCTGAGCATCGGCCTTTTTGTTAGAACAAAATAATAGTAAATTAATGGAAATAATGGAAAAAATGTACTTTAAATGTTATCTGTAATTTATGGTGTGCCGCAGCTCCATGGCTATACTTCATCCATAGTTTTGCGCTTTGCGTAAAGTTCAGTGGATGTAATATTTTTATTCGGCACCCACCTTTTCAAAATTTTGGATACACCACTAAGTAATACAGTAAACATCTTTAATATTGGTTATAAGATTTGCAAAATTCAGGTATGCCTAGAGTACGTACCCAGAAGCTGGACTTTTCTGTATCAATTCCCGCAATTTGTCGTTGGAATTCATCATGCAATAAAGGGCATCACAACATGTCTGAAAACAAAAAAAAATGTTAATTATTAAAAATAACAGCAGAATATATCTCATCACATCTGTGCAGATTGATCAATGTGTCCTTAGTATCTGGAAAAAAATAAATAAAAAGTATGCCAATTTAAGAAAAAAAATCTTCAATTATGTTTTGTTTTTTAAAATAAAACATGGAGTGAAGATGTAGATTGGTGAATAAGATGCTGTTGTGACATCAACACAAATCTATATCCCACACGCACAAGGATTTGAAATTTCACAAATGACATATAGGTAAACTGCTCTAAAATCATTTATAATCTTGTAAACTTGTACTTTAATTTAGCCAAGTTTTGATACTGATGCTTGAGTATAGCCCAAGTTCAAGAGATGTCTCATAAGGCTAAAAATCCCATGCATAGTACACGCCATTAGCTGTGCGTCACGTTTTGGCCTGGAAAAATTAGTTTGTCTCCGACCATGAAAATTGTCTTGATCAAACGCCTCTAGGACTAAATGTTATCTTTACATTATAGCGAAACAGTAGTAAATTGAAGTGGTTTGGTGCAATGTGAGCGGTTTGGTTTCCCAAACTTGAGGTCGGGGTTTCAAGCCCCTCGCTGTACATTTCAATTGTGTCTTTGGGCAAGGCACTATGTCTGCATTGCTTCTCTCCACCAGGAGTATAAATGGGTACCTGGTAGGGTTAAATGCCAAAATGTGCTGAAGTAGCTGCTGCAACTTTATGGAATACCCCTCCCCACCACATTGAGCATGAGTTTGTATTCAATAGGCCGGGGGTAGTAACGTGAAGCACTTAGAGGCCTTGTTGGCGTTCAGCGCTATATAAATCTAAACATATTATTACATTTAGTGGCTTGGAGCAAGCAAAAATATTATATTTAAGCATTAAATTGTGATGTGCAAAAAAATTTTTTTTTTCTAAAATGCCTCCAGGTAATAGGTCAATGCCTCTGACTGCCGGTCGTGCACTTTTTCCAGCCCTGTATAGACAAAAACCATGAGAAAGGACCGAAAATAAGTGTTAAATTCTTACTTGTTGTGTTTGCTTGTCATTACTTTGACTGGACATTGTATCCAAGACCGGATGATGACCATTGTATTGAATCAGTACATTCTGGCAGCTCTCTATATTAAGACAAAGTAAATAAATTTACTATGACAGAAAATAATTACAAATAAACCAAAAAAAAATTGGTCACCATACTGGGAGATCTACACCCAACCTGGGCCTCACCACGGTTGGGGCAGAGTGTAAACACTACAGTACCTCTAGATGCCTTTCAAATGACTCCTTTTATCCACACTATATAATTTGACAAGTACCTGTGATTTGTCCATATATAAGGATAAAATATAATCATGATGATTATATTTTGGTAAGAGGTGCTGTTCCTGGCTGTAAGCCAGCCAGTGTCAGGATTAAACGGAGCCTGATCACTTTGCTTCTCAAATAAACATTGTTATTGAGAGTTAGGTGGGCTAAGGACAATGTTTGTATCCGTATGTGTCCGTTATGTTGTAATTAAGTTGGGTGGCCTGCACTGCGGCTGCCACAGGTCTGAAGGGGCTCAGCCAAAATTTCGGATTTCCAATTAAAATGAGGACAAATAAATATTTATCATTATTATTATTATTATTATTATTATTATTATTTGGATGTGATATGACACCATTATGCCCTAAAGGGCCAATTCACACAAAATTTGACATATACAATTTTAAAACGTTATTTATACTTTTCAAAAATGTTTCAATTTTACAATTCTAAATTTTAATTAAAAAGACATTTTATAAAAGTTTGCTAGAATTTCACAAAAAAAATGGAAGATATAATATATTCAATTTACTAGCGGATGAGGGGAGTCTATTTTGAGCGTCCACTGTTCACTATTGGAAAGTTGGAACATAATGTGTTTAGACGGAAAAGGTAAATGACAGTATACAGTATATATTAATGTCCATGATTTTATCAAATTACTGTCAGAAAACCTACAACATGGTGATTACGTCTTGTGTGAGGTTGTGTCTACCAGTACCACTAGGGTGCCTGATCTGATAATATCATTTCTGAGGTTCTTCACTAAATTGGTTCTACCAGAAAAATACTCTTCATCTTTGAAATCATTAGTGCCATTTCCTATTATAGGAGTGGGGTCCACATTGGAATGAGATAAAGTTGGCCCAGTTTTTTAAGTGGATATTTCCAATTTAAGTGCTGAAATAGACATACAGCTGAGCCATAAGCATCCCACACCTTCTTTCCATATTCAAAAAACACAGCTCTTTCTTGACCTTCATTCTGATAGGCCTACTTCCTGTGGTAGTTTGAATAAAAATGCATCTACCTATGGTACTCACCGTACTCAGTCAAGGCTATCAATTCTTCACAAATCTTTGGTAGGATTTTAATTTCAAAGTCATTTTTCAGCAGTACAAGCAAATCTAAAGTTCGCTTTTCCCTCTCTTCTTCCTTAACATCGTCCATTTTTCATTTATCCTTTCAATGATTCATTTCTAAAAAAAACCAAAAAAAACAAAACAATTCACTTGTAAACATACTGCATATCTAATCAATAATTCAGAAACTCAATATAGCATGACAGAGCTACCAATTACATTGTTACTGATCTATTTCTCAGTATATTTATTTTTGTTTTAATGTTGAAAAAAACTTCTTACTGAATTATTATTATTATATTTTTTTAAATTATTATTATTAATGTTATTATTAATATTATTATTAAGTTAGACAAATTTGGAAGTGTGAGATTTTTTTTAATTATGTAGTATTTAGATAGGATATCATCATTGTATCTATTTCATGTGGAGTCAATAATGCAGTTGCATCATGGTTCTTAACTTTCTAATCTTTTTTAATCAACCAATGATATTAAAGAGAACCATTTCTTTCTTGATATTCAGTAGAAACACAATCTTACTGCCCTATTGGTTTGTTAACATGTATAGTAATTAATTTATAATAGGTTACCAAAACACAACTCAGTTTTAATGTTTCTGCCTTTACCTAGTACAGGTATTATTTATAGTAATATATCACCACTACTGACTGCTGTACCCTACATGTGGCTAGACTAAACGTTTGAACTTTGATTTTACCACAAGGCTAGCCTGCTTTAATCTTATTTATAGCCTCTGTGTGTCCTATTTATTATACGCAACACGTTCTCATGAGACGAAAATGAACAACTACGTATATTGATTTTGATACTGTACTCAAATTACCGTAATTCTACGTGATTATTCCAAGCCGTTACACCTTAAATCAATATCACTCAATCAACTAGACTACAGTCTACATCTTCACGATATCCAACAACTATACACATTACTTCCCTTCTCAATCCCCAGGTGTCAGTCAGCAGTGTGGCTGATTAGGGTTGCATAAAAAACCAGAAAAAGCGAAGGGCCTAGCCTAGCCTACTAGCCCTGCCTAGAGAACTAATCCAGGCCTCCTAGTCAAATTCCAACCAGTTAGAAACGGTAAACTACACATAATAAATTAAATCAGAAGTTCCTTAATCTCACCAACTTTTAAGCCACCAACTATTTCGAACTCAGAAGGAAACATAATATATCAAGATTTACGCCATCATCATTCAGCTGTGGGGGTTCACCTAGGCCTAGTCAACGCGCGTAACTCAAGTGTGGTTACCCAGCGCAGGGTAAAGTTTATCAACAAAAGTGGTCCAGTTCAGATGTCACATGACGATCAATTCGTCTAGTCACATGACTATGCAAATAATATTTTTACCACAGACCCTATAGGGTCTGTGATACAGTGATACTTCATTTCAAACACCATTCCGTTTTTTTTTGTTTTTTGTTTTTTTTTTTTTTTAGTTTTAACTCCCTGGAACGACAAAATAATATTAATAATAATAATAATAGCCTAATAATAAAAAGAACGCCTTTAACATTTTTGGTGGATTTTGTCTCTATATAAATTCCATGATTGATTGATTGATTGATTAATAATAATAATAATAATAATAATAATAATAATAATAATAATAATAATAATAATAGGCCTATTAATAATAATATCATTATTTTATTTTCATATCAACTGACAGAGATATATAAGGGTATAATATACTCTTCATTACATAAGCATACACAGCATGCAACACATTAATAATTATAATAACAATGACAATATACTGTAGTATAATTATTACCATATGCCTAATTGTTAATAATAACATTTTGGTCGAATCAAGATAATTTCCCGATTGCGTAAGGGAGAACATATGGTACCTGAGTCTTGTACAATTGCATGCACTGAAAACACTGTCGAACATGGTCAAAGCAGTGTAGTCCCGAAATTAGGAAAAGCTATGTTAATTTTTTTTTAATTTTTTTTTCTCGTGTTAATTAATCCAAATTCTATGATGGGAATTGGGCTTTGACAAAAAATCGAATCTGTATCTTCAATAATTGTATAAATTTGTAGGACCAAATCCATGGGGACAGGGTCTGATCTAATAATCTTCATCTGAACGCAGTTATTTGTGGAAACATTGTCTTCTTGCTAGCACTATCATTTTGTCATTTTGCCTTCAGATGAGCAGACGCAGGAGATCATCATCGGAAATTATGTTGGGATGGAAGCGTTGCCGTATAAACGATCGACGCCAAACGTGTGCGAACGTTTTGTCACGCATCCGTCTCACAATTTTTACATCCGTCTCACAATTTCATTGTTCCCTGGTTTTCCGTTGTAATGTTGCAGCGTGATGCCTGATGCATTATGTGCTCATACAATGTTATGCATTTACAATGTGATGCATTATGGCTTGAAATGTGATGAACTCATGTCATGAAACTTCATCGATGAATCTCTAAATTTGAATTGCATTATCATGTATCCAATAATAGCACATTTTCTGTGGTTGAATGTTGCTTAGGAAGGAGGGAATAAATGCATTGTCGTTCAAGATGTTGTGTCCGATCGACCTGAAAAGTGTCTAAATCTTCACCTGTCCAGTTTATTTGAAATTCCACAGCTGCACTGCAAATCTTTTACTCAAGGAAGATGAAGATGCTACGAATTTTTTTCATTTTTTTTTTTTTCATTTTTATGCCTAGCTAGGCCTACAACGGAAATCTGAAGACATGGAAGTGCATTTTACGAATTGGGAAGTCTGACTCACAATCTGTTTGTCAGTAGGAGTTACTGTGACGTAGACAAGTTAAAATTTATTCTAAAAATGTTGAACTAAAATCATTGATAAGCCTATTTCGTTATTAATAAAATATATTTATTCCATGTAGAACTGATTCAATCCACCCTTACTGTAGTTTAGGCATTTCCAGTATTCCGGTATTTATCATTCATCATTTTAACGCCTCTTAGGCATACAGTACTGTTAAAGCTATATTATTACTAAATTCAAATATTTCTATCTTTCAGATAGACAAACATCAAAATATGCCTGTTGATTAGCAGTGGCGCCAGAAATTTGCTCGGGTTCGCTATCCGACGGAGGGGATCGAACCAAGGGCCCTAGCTTCGGTCAGGGCCGAGCCTCGGTCGGTGCCGAGCTTCGGTCGGGGCAGAGCCTCGGTCGGGGCAGAGCCTCGGAATAAATTTAAAAGAACCCTGGTAGGGTGCACGGGGAAAGTTTTTATTGTTTAGTATTGACCAAATTGTGCTTTTAGACACAATATAGGGCCGGGATTAGCAATTAAAATAACGTTATTTGGAGGCAATACTATATTTTAGTTTTTTATCCGACGACCTCTTGTTGTGACGTCGGACGACAGGGGGTCCAAACCTGTCCGTCAGAGGGGGGTGTGCCCTCTCCCCCACTGGCTCAACCATTACCTTCTTGGATAATCGGCAACGAAGAGGAAAATATCTGAGCATTGCGCTCAACAGAGAATGTTAATAAAAAGTACAACAGATAAAGGTTCAATTTTTCTGACGAGTGTCAAAAGGACTATCCAACCGTTCGTCAACTTACAAAAAAAGAAAAGTGTGGGAATGAAAGTAGCCTATAATACCACCAGTATAGAGCCTATGTCAAAACCTCATGTTTCTTTGTACCATATATGTATTTTTTATATTTAAAAAAATATATATATTTTGGTCTTTGGTTTTGTTTAATTTGTTAATTCGTTTAAATTTTGTTCTGCAGAGGTACCCACAACTGTAGGCCTATCTACCACTACACAACTACCACTGCCAACTACAACAGCAGACATCCAAGCAAGTCCTACTCTCCTCCTCTCTTCAACTTTCACCCTCGTCGGATCAGGAAAAGCTCCAAGTGGCGCTCTTTTCGAATCTTATTGGATAAGAAGTGCGCATGACTGCGCGTTGCTTTGTCAACGGACACCAGCCTGCAAGTCGTTTAATTTTCCAGGGAATGTCATTGGACGTAACTACATGCAATGTGATATATTTAATACAATATTCAAAATCGAAGAGTTACTCTCAGACAGTATAAACTTTCGCTATTACATTATGTCATAATGCATGAATGTTCATAATAGTACGATTATCGTCTGTAGGCCTATTAAAAGAGCTTTATATAATGCTTAAAGTAGCTAGTCGACACTTCGTCAACCACATATTGGGGTGGTGATAAAATGGATGTAGTGTTTCGTTGTTACCGGGTCTGGTTGCACCAAAGTATCCCGGCTTTCCTTGCAATCAGTATGAAACAGTGTAGTATTTGATTACAAACAAAATATAGGCCTACTGATGAATGATTGATGATGATAATTCCTATAAAATGCGGATTCCCGCACAAATAAATAAAAACACATTACTGTATTTGAGACAGAGAGATAGGCCTGGGCCCATTATTTATCAGAATTGACTTGCTGCGACTTTATTAAGCATAGGCTATGCTATAAAGCGAATTTGCGATGTGTTTGGTACTACTGTATACAGTATTTGTAGGCGATGATAAGGCCCATATTATTATGAAAAATGAATGTATACATAGCACTTATCAATGCATGTTTTAGCATGTAGGCCCATCAGTTTTATAACTGTATAAAATTTGTTAAGAAGGTCAAATAAATGAATATGATTGAGGTCTCTTATACACATCTAGATGTGTATAAGAGACAGACGCCAAACGTGTGCGAACGTTTTGTCACGCATCCGTCTCACAATTTTTACATCCGTCTCACAATTTCATTGTTCCCTGGTTTTCCGTTGTAATGTTGCAGCGTGATGCCTTGATGCAAACTATAAAGAGTATATATTAAAATAGTGAGACGTAGGCCTATTACGTTTTTTTAAAAAATGAATTCATAGTGAAATGTTTACAAACAACGTTTAGTAAGTAAACGTTTAACTAATTTCTGGCCATGGATCATAACAAAAATAAAACAACATTGAATACATTACATAATTGGATCTGGATGCTTTTTAAATATAAAAATATAGTTAGGACTGTCATTTTACTTGATATTATAAATAATTTTTATTGAAATGCACCATTTACATCGACTCAAACCGACGAGCAGTGTGCCTTTTATGAATCCGACTTAAAGTTAAACGATGTTGTTTGTAATAAAAAAAAAATCCATAAATAGTCAACATCGCCCTCTATCGACATCCATGCTCATCATCAGACTTTTTCTTCAAGGAGTATTCAAAATGGCGACCACAACATAGGAAATCTAGAAAGGGAGTTGGAGTATTACTTGTCAGGAAGTTCATATTTTTTAGAAATGCTATTTTGAATAAATTGGCATATTGGGATATTATAGAAGGGGTTTGTGTTTTTTTCTCAAGAAGGCTGAATTATCATCAAAATATGTTGTGTAATTGAGGTATATTTCCGGTTTTCAATTTTCTACCGATTTGCATTGCTTGCTTTTTGGTTTGCCCAAGATACTGTGTGTTGTGGGTGTCGTAGCCTAACTAAACTTTTTTTTGAAATTTTGACTAGGCCTAATACCAGTGTAATACTACCACTAACAATAAATGTAACAATTATTTTTAAAATATTGTTATCGTGCTCAGTTAAATTGTGGTTAGCCTAAATAATCAAGAAGGAAAGGAAAGGGTTGTGAACTTGTGTTCTTGTTGTAATGATTGTATTGTAATGTAAAGGAATTAGGCCTACCATACAAAGTTGACAAAGTGATAAAGCTTCACCTGTTGACATTGATTAAGGTAAAGTAGACAGGCTAGGCCATAAGGCAAAGGCCCATGTTAGTACATCATTTCCACTTGAAATGCTCAAAATATGAGTGACTAGACCTAGGCTAGGCTTAGCCTGGATTCCAAGAATATTAATAATATGTGATCAAAATTTGTATTTTTTGTGTCTACTCCGCGTAGGCCTAAGACCGCCGTGTCGGCCGCTAAAGCTGGGCACTCACTGTGTCGTACGACGAACTCCACCCCCTGCGAACGGTAGAGATGACGCGACGTCATCTGTTGATTGTAGTTGGTAGTTTCAACAGATCGTCATTAAAAACGATCTGTCGCAAGCTTGTCGTCTTTATAGAACCGCGTCGGCCGACGTGCCCGAATTAATATAACAAGATCAGTTGCGATGCAGCCCGTTGCGATGTATGGAACACATTTTGTAATTGTATTTTATGTTTTCAGTCAACACGATTTATCGAATGCCATATTGTATTTAAGTATTGTAATTGTGCGGATGATACCTCAAAAACTAGATCAGTTTGTA